AGAAATTTTTCAGAATCTCGTTAAATCAATATCTGCTTTTCATTGGAAATGGAAAAAAAAAAAAAAAAAGAAAAAAAAAAAAAAGAAATTTTTCAGAATCTCGTTAAATCAATATCTGCTTTTCATTGGAAATGGAAAAAAAAAAAAAAAAAGAAAAAAAAGAAACGAAAAATGAAAATATATTCTTCGAGATTATTTTTATTATATTTTTCTCGGTGCATAGAATATGAATGTTAATAAAGAAACGAAAAGAAATTTGACTATTTTAAAATTTTTATAAAATATTTTTACAATCTAATATCGAATGATCTCTAATTTAATTAATTTTTAATATTTTTAATTGTGTGTTAAAAATCTAATAAATTAATTCCATTTAATATATAATTTCAATTTAATCAACGATAATCAACAATTTCTGCCAAGTATCAATTTTTCGAATATATCGATATTTCTCAACATTCTCAAAAAATATCTTTACCACTAAACCAGTCAATGAAAACTCATAATTGGATCAAGATCAGCTGGCATTGGCTGTTAATGGCCCAACAAGTGTTCCTTTGAGGAATTTCTGCTTGTCATCGTCAAACGTATACAAACGGTGTCGCGTTTGAAATTGATAAATCGTGAAAAGACAAGTTTAAAGCGAATTTTTAGTCGACACACGTGTATCTGGCAAACGTTCAAATCCGATTATCTCAAAAACGAGAAACCTGGAAACCTAGTTTTGCGAGGGTGAATCACCTTGCTCGCTATTCTGTCTTGAGAGAATATTATCTTGATCCATGCCATTCGCACGATCCATAAATATTCTTTTTCGAATACTTCAATTAGTAATAAATAAATTAGAATAAACGATAAAAACGATTTATTTTTCTTGTATCTTCGAAAAATTAAAAAGAAAAATGTATATTTTGATCAATAAATAACAAAGTAAATATTAATAAAAATATCTATATAATAATTGATTTTAAATTTTAATGCGCGTACAAAACAAAAAATGATTTTAGAATTTTTTTAATTTATCTAATTTATATTACTATTAAGGAATTTTTTTCTTTCTTTTTTTTTTTTTTTCACGTTTTTCTTTGAATTATAATTAAATTGAATTTCCAGGTAAATGGCTGTGTTCTGCAAGGGCGATGCCACTTGAACGCATCTGCCTTAATTAAAGGAATGGCTGGCACGTGTTTCAAAATCATCGTTTTACGGTAATTATGCACATATATGCGTTTTTTTTGTATTTTTTTATTTTACGTTCATTTTAGAAAAAAAAAAAATAAATAAAAGTATAATATTAAATTGAATTTCAATCCTCTCTTACACATTTCAATTTCAACATATGCTTAATAATTATTAATTCTCACTTACCTTTTCCTAGAAGAAAATTTGGCTGTAATAAAATTTATTTAGAAACAATAACAAGTTTAAAAATGTATTATATAATGATATAAATTGATAAAATTAATTGTGTGATTCGGTTCAACAGGAGATCTGCTGCCCTTAATGACATCGCTGTCAAGCCCATTGTTCAATTTCCCCCGACATTAGACGATGTAAGTTCAATATTTCACAAATATGATGCAATAATAAATATTCCAATTATCGAGAAAATTTCTTTTCTTAAAAAAAGAAAAAAAAAAGAAAAAAAATTGTAGATTATTTTTACATCTTGAACACGAAATTTTTAATTCTTTTTTCTTTTTTTTTTGTAAAATTTAATCAAAATATTCTTCTTTATGTAATAATAATAATTATTTTTTTTTTTTTTGTAAAATTTACGAAATATATAAATACGTATTCTATTCTATCTTCCTTACCCTGCACCCATTCTATTTTCACTTCTCTTTACCTAATTCAAACTTAAATTCATAATTCAATAAACCTCAACCGATATTTCTGTCTCACCAACTACTTTTGTGTTTATTTTGGCTACCAAAATCAATCCTACCAAGAATGTCTCACGAATATATTATTACTCTGCATATATCGATATTAAAATTTCAAAAATTCCTTCACGAAACAGAGTAAGATATATTATCTGCCATTTCTATTATTATTTTTCTTTTCACAGTCTGATATGTTCAACCAGTACAAAGGAGTTCGCAATATACCAGTAAAAAAGGTAAAAATTTAATTGAACGAGAATATTCGAAGGAAGAAAAAAA